TATTTATAACCAATTAATACATTAATCATTTAGTTAATATTTTAGAGGTACTAGCTACTTTATTGATATTATGTCATCTGTGTCTATATTATAAAGTACTCATTTTTTAACGGACATTAACATAAACGCCTCTAGTTTGGATTCMGATARTTTGCTGCTCCTTAATCTGTTTTTAATAAATTTTAATGTCGAAAATGTTCGCTCACATGCTATCTATGCAAAACGCAAATGGTATGAATCAATATTTATGTATTTAAATAATTTTGTAAAATATATAATATGTACCTGAGTTAGTGCTGGCAGTGTTAAAAATATTTGTACGCCAATCCTGAATTACTATAAGTCCAGGCTACACATGGTTTAAATTTATAATAATTATTATTAAAATCTGTTATTCTAAAAAAAAAGTAAGACCTAGTAGCCCGGCCCACCAGGAAAACTCCAATCCGTGCCTGACAGATTATATGATATTATTGTAAGTCAAGTGTTAATTGAACAATTGTATTTTATAATCAATATACAATATACTGTATTTAAGTTAAAAATTATACTAAACGTAAAAATCTACAGCCTAGGACAGTTTGACAGTATAAACAATATTTAAATTAAAAATATTATTCATGTTCAATTATTTATTTATTTTCAGCGTAACGTTCAAAGTATTAATCAGTGGTTGGTGATAAACTCAATATTTTTTGTATTCTTTATTCTTTTTATTGGTTTTACTACTGTCAAAAATGCATCACCTGATATAATTCCTATTGGAATTCCTGTTAGCAGTATGTATCAAAAGTTTATTTAATACTTATACAATATTAAGATAAACTATTTAATAATTATTAAAAAAATTTTAATATTCAATATTGTTATTTGTTAATAGTTGTTGTAGTATACCAGATTTATGTGGTGAAATGTTTTTATGATGATGAACTTAATACTATAACTCCGCCTACGTTGCATGCCACACCATATGTGACCATAACCAGTCAAACTCTTCCGACCCCAGTCTATCCTGTGCAAGGTGGACCTTATGTTATTCAACAAGTACATCAACCCATTACACATTCTCCTTATCCTCAGCAAACATATGAGTATCAGCCACAACAACAAACTTCTTCTCAGCCTCACGTGGCTATACCTGTGCCAAGCCAACAAAGTATTCAGGAGTATTGTARCCCACCACCATATTCTCCAAGTTACACACAAGAAGGCTCTTCAGTGAAACAATAATTACTTATTAAAACTATTCAATCCTTTATCTTATACAAYCAATCCAATACTTTTTTTTATTATGATATATACATTTCTGACTATCTTGTATGTGTTATGTGTTAAAAAGTACAAATTGTTTATTGTATGTATACAATAATACAATATTATTAATTACTACTTATTTTATATTTAATGAATCATGTGAAGTGCTTTGTGTTAATCATTTTAGCACTAAATACTTATTTATGTAAATCTCATTCATTGCTTAAAAAGGATAAAAGTGTGTATTGAGCTTAGTTTTTATAATTAGTTCAGGTTTTTGTGAGTTAAAATAAGTGATTTTTAAACTATAAAAAAAGAAAACCCCCCATTAATTTATGTGTACAATTTTTCAGTAGTTATGTATTTAAAGTTAATTTTTTTTTTATCTATTAATTAATCAAAACAATCTAAGACTGTATTATTTTTTTTAATATATTCATCTTAGATATTTATACAATTTTAATTTAATTCATATTTTCTATAAGACTGTGTAAGAACAA